CTATCACGGTTTAAAGAATCCAGCATTGAATATTGATCATGGCAAATGAACAAGGCTCCCCTGGTTTATATTCTAGCATTTTGTTGACCCAGCCATCCACCCCGACCTCCTCTGTATAATAAGTCACATGTCCTAAGGCCTCTCGGTTTGTCGCTTCAACATAAACAAATGTTGTTTCAGGGCCACAGGCTGAAACAACAGATGGAGCCTTTTTCCTTGCGAGGACACATTTTATATTCACTCTTGTAATTTCCGAGCAAACATTTGAAAACCCCACAGTGTATAACTGTGGCTGCAACAGTAGAATATAAACACCAGATATGAAATCCCCAAATGCCCAGAAAGAAAAAACAAAAACACTGAGTCCATGGCGTCTGTGTCCTCAGCTGACTGTCTTATCAAACAGTCACAAATTTATCGAGTGTATATGAGACAGTCATTAGTTACATCTAGACTTCCTCGACCCCAGACTGGTCCGGTCCCCGTGGAGGAGACTGAGGAAATAAAAATGTGATTTTACATTAGGTACTTGATAAGCATTCCTGATATTTGCAAACCTCCTGAAAGCCCGTCAGGTCAATGATCCGTGCATGCTCTACCTGATCAGAAAACCAATTTAACTCAAGTGAGTAGCTGCCTCATTTGAGTCCAGCATTTCAGGCAGATTCAAGGGCTTTCATGAATTTCACCTTGTGCTTGTTTGTGCTAGAGGAAAGTAAATCCACACTGACAGTCATGCAATCAATTTTTTGACAATAAAACCTGACTTAAGTTTTATCTAACACTTGGAACTCATCATGCGACGGCCTTTCGCTGTACAGCACAGACAAAAGCAGAGTGCACCTTTTTAAGCGTTGTAAATGAGTTTTTTTCCACAAACCTCATAGGAAGCAGTGCTGACAATTTAGTGAGTCAGCTGCTTTTTTTTATGCTACTCAGGATATTTTATTTTTTGTCTTGATTGCCGAATGTTGCTTGTTATGCTTCCCCGAGCAGACTTAATAAATAATTGAATTAACCTTTATCTCCCCTCTCAGTGAAATTTAATATGCTGCTCTTTTTAATCAACAAAAGCACAGTTATAGTGTTAGATGCTCTCTGCGCCATGCGAGAGATTTTCAATTAAATCTCTGGGATGTATCAGTATGTTCTGACTTACTGCACTGTGCGCAAAGAAACGAAAGAGACGTGTTCGACCATTCACAGAACA